AAAAGTTAGCCAGGAAAAGGAACCAGGTGTGAGGAAAGGGAGAAGACACGGGTTCACCAAGAAAAATGAGATTAAGGGGAGGAGAAAGGAGACAGCAGGCAGTGGGGACATGGGCAGAGTCACCTGACCCATGACATTACCTCAGCTCAGAGTTATCCAGGGAAACACCACAAGTCAGGGCCTCCCAGGTCCCCGGGGAGTGGAGGCACAACAGCAGCCGGAGGATAATTGTGGGCACCTCAGAGGCCAAGACTTCCAGAGAAGAGGAGGGAACCGCAGAGCCCACGCCCGTGCCCAGCAGCCCCTGCCCAGGCTGGGTGGCCATTTCCATCTCCCCCAGGTAAGTGCTCCACACAATGCTGGGCAGCCTTGGCCTTTCCCTGACAAGGCTGGACCCTGCCGGGAACAGAGGGCAGATCAGGGCCCACTCAGAGTCTTAAAAGCCTTTCTATGGGCTTGGGGCCAATACCTGTCCCTAGTCATGGAAGAAAAGAGCCAGGTGAAGGTTCCCACATCTCTACCAGTGCATTCACAGAGGTGTTAGCCAGAGGCCACCAGCCTGGCTGGACAAGAAGAGGGATGAGAAGGAGACAGGGAGCCTTGGAAATTTCTCCCAGATGGAATTGCACATAAGACAGTAAGGCAAGTGTGTCTACACTCAGTCTGTTCAAATCTTGAAATGTGTTCTGTGGGTTGGTGTGCTCTGGGGTGGGCCATACCATGTAAGAAGTTTGGCAATCATGTGGTATGCATGTTTGTAGTGTGCCTAATTGGGTGGGTGAGGTGAGGTGGTAGGGGTAAGGCAGTGTGAACAGGTTTGTGGGTTTACAAGTGGCGTGTAAATCAGGTGGGCATTCATAGCCTCCGTACTGTCTATGGTTAATGTCTGATAAAAACTTAGGGCATTCTTTCTCGGGTTCCTGTTAATGGTCCACATCTCAGAGACCACAGATGAAACAACCTGCATGCCCCATTCTCTCTCTCTCTCTCTCTCTCTCTCTCCCTCCCACTCCCCATGCAAAGCAAAGCTCCAAAGCTCCCACTAATACTTCAGACAAAATATATATATGTGAAAAAACAAAGGCAAATTGTCTGGCTGTGCTCCCCCAGATCTCCTTGATTCAATGAAGGCCATCTTTCTCCCCATCCCTCACATCCCCCACCAGGCTCCAGAATTCCAGCTCCCTTGCCCCCAAGGTACCAAACCTTCTTTCATGAATTGCTTTCTACTCCAGACCCTCCCTCACCGCCTGCATCCAGGGCTCTCTGGGCTGGCCAGTCATGCAGCCAGCCAGCCACACCTCTGTTCATCCTCGTCCATCCAGCCAGTTATCCACAGGGTATCCATCCCCATGCCCACTAGCTAATCAATTTACCCATCTGCCTGTCTCACTAAGATTTATCGAAGGGGGGCCGTTCTGCTTTAAAAATAGCCCTGGGGAGGGGTAAACAGGGAGCTGTCTAATAGTTACAGAGTTTTAGTTTTTATTCCACTCAATAAAGGACAAAACCAATTTTATTTTATTAATCTAATCCGAAACAGTCCACATTTCATCTGAGCCTTGCAGACTTTCCATTTGGAGTTTGAAGCTTTTTTATTGCATTTTGTTTTTTGAGCACGTCATTACCTGAGGTTAGCAATTAAAGTACAGGTGCAGTTTTCTTTTCATTTTATGCTGTTGTTTAGGTAATAAGAAATAGTAATGCCCTAACTGGTTTGGCTCAGTGGATAGAGCGTCAGCCTGTGGACTGAAAGGTCCCAGGTTTGATTCCAGTCAAGGGCATGTGCCTGGGTTGCGGGCACATCCTCAGTAGGGAGTGTGCAGGAGGCGGCTGATCGATGTTTCTCTCTCATTGATGTTTCTAACTCTCTATCCCTGTCCTTTCCTCTCTGTAAAAAATCGATAAAATATATTTTTAAGAAAAGAAATAGTAAGTAACTGGCTTTAGGTTTTGTAATTTTTTTCCTCTATATTCCTGCTTAGATTTCTAGTAGTCCATTTATTTTCAGTGAAATGTAAAAATATTCCCATTCTCTTTAACCAGTATTAATTTTTTGAGACCTTATTGCTTGTCACTTGAATCTTGTAGCTGTCATACATAAGCAGCATCATAAATAACTTTACTTTCATTATTTCTTCTGGAGGGCAGGGGAAAGAATATGAATAGGCAATTCATAAATGAAATAATTCAAATAGGCAGTTTGATAAGTTGCTCAATTATCTAAATTGATTAACTTTTCTTCTTTATTTATCTTTATTGTTGAAAGTATTACTTCTTAAAATTTTTAATTGCAAACACAACATTTTTTTATTTGAAAATAGCAATATTTCTCCCATAAGCTAAGTGGTGTGAGCATCTCAAAGGTTATCAACAAGAGTGAAGAAGACCAATGGACACAGATACTCCTGTTCAAACTGAATAGATGGAGTTTGTCCCCCAGAGTGTAGGGTGAAGTTGTTGGCCTCACTGGACATACCGTAGGTGTGGTGAAATCTCAGGCTCCAAGTAACAATTCTGTGTTCGCCACTCACTAATAGTGTGATCTTAGGTAAGTAATTTAAGCTCTCAGAGCTCTTGTTCCCTATCTGCAATGACTAAATAACAACTATTCCTAGAATTGTTATATAGTCCGTTGAGATGTTACATACTGCAAAATGCCCAACACACAGCAATCTCTAAGTGTTAACTGTAGAGTAAATGACTTAAGGCACAAAAATATATATGGTGAGAGGGCAGAGTGAGTATGGGAGGAAGGTTAGGTCTATGCGCAATGGGCAGACAGTTTGAAACTACCCTGCCTTAAGATGAAGGTTGCTGAACTAATCTCAAATGTGGGATGAATGTGGGTGATAAAAGCTCTTCAAATCTTGGGAACCAAGACTTCTAAAAGACTTGGGCCCAGTGTCCTTGTCTTTATCAAACTAGCTGCCTATTTTAGACAAATCAGGTTCTGTCTTTACAAGTGGGATTTACTCATTCATCTCATAAGTATTTAGCTGAACACTTGGCATGTGCAAGGTACCATGCCAGTTGTTCTGGTGAACAAACTAGCCTATAAGACAGTTGATAACTTAGTGATTAAGGGCATGGGTTCTGGAGTTAGGCAGGCCTAGATTTGAGCCCAAACTCTCTGTTACTAGGTTTGTGATTTTAAGTAAGTTTCTAATATTGTCTGGACTTCCATTTGCTCATCTGTAAAATGGAGAAAATATAGGCTTCTATATCATAGTGCAATTGTGAAGACCAGAGGTTGTTTGTTTGTTTGTTTGTTTGTTTTAAATCCTCACCTGAGGATATTTTTCCCATTGACTTTTAGAGAAAGTGAAGGGGGGGGGGGCAGGGAGAGAAACATCAACCGGTTGCCTCCTGCAAGCGCCCTGGGGATTGAACCTACAACTGCGGTACATGCCCTTGACCAGGAATCAAACCTGTGATCCTTTGGTCCATGGGCTGACATTCTAACCACCAAGCAAATCCGGCTAGGGCATGACTCAAAATTTTAATGACTATTAAGTCCTTTAGCCAGGCACTTGGGAAATAGCAGCTATTAAAACAGATGCTCATCCTAGACCCCTCCCCCCACCACCACCTCCCCAACTTGTTCTGCAGGATCTATACAGTGGAGACCTTTATCTAAAAAATTCTAGGACCAAGACACAAGTACTATCTCATGTGAGCCCAAATGAAGGTGCTTTCTTCAAATACTTGAAGGGCTGTCTGGTGAAATAGGGCTTAGACGTTCTATAAAATACTAAGAATTTAGCCAAGACTAGTAGAATGAAGACTTTTCCTACAAGCAGAGGGGGCTACCTCAGTAGATGGTGAGTTTTGCTGCAGATGTTCAAACAGACACTGCACATCAGCCTTCTAAGATGTTGTAGATGAAATCTGAGAATTGTCACACTGAAATATATGACCCTTAAAGTCACTTTTAATTCTGAAATGCCATGAGTAATTATTTCTGACTGTGAGGAGAAGGGAAGGTGCCATAGGGATGGTGGAATTTGAGCTGAGCCTGAAAGATGAGTGGGATTTTAATAAGATGCATCCCTCAGGGGCACACTCTGGGAATGCCTAGGGCAGTGATAGCGAACCTTTTGAGCTCGGCGTGTCAGCATTTTGAAAAACTCTAACTTAACTCTGGTGCTGTGTCACATATACAAATTTTTTTATATTTGCAACCATAGTAAAACAAAGACATATTTTTGATATTTATTTCATATATTTAAATGCCATTTAACAAAGAAAAAGCAACCAAAAAAATGAGTTCGTGTGTCACCTCTGACACGCATGTCATAGGTTCACCATCACTGGCCTAGGGGCTGGGAAAACAGAGGGTACCACCGAGACAGAGCAGCTGGAGTGATAATTACAGGGACCAATAAGAGGAGAGCAAAGTACAATATGGCCAGCCCCTGCCACACTCCCCTCACAGGGCAGGGGCCATGGCCTAATAATCTTTGAAAAGGAGCTCTATAGCATTCCAAAGCATGATACAATTGGGCAGTATTATCTCCAACAGTTGCATTATTGCCTGACATCTTAAGTCCATTGCCCACCATGGTGATCGTAAGACACCAGCGTATGACTGAGTCTACAGTGGGGGTGTCACATAGTTTGTTTCAGGCTGGGGTTTGGAGCCAGACTGTACAAAGAAGCCTGGGGCAAAGCAGCTGCTCCATCCCCACTCTGGAGGAAGACCAAAGTATATGTCTGGGGTCTCTACACTTGGGAGTCAGGCCCTGCACCCAGGACCCAGAGCTTAGAGGACAGGGGAAATGCATGGAATTTGGAACCAAGAAACCTGGATTCAAGTCTCAGGCCTACCACTCCCGTGGTATTACCTGGGACAAATTATTTAACCTTTCAGAAACCCATGGCCTCATCCATAAAGCGGAGGCCCTAACTGTTTCGGTCGGTTTGAGAGGGACTGTACGACAAGTGCCTTCCTAAGTCACAGAAATGCTGATTCCATGTAAACTTCTCTTTCGTGGCTGTGCCGTAGGTTCTAGCCTGAAGTGATGACTAAGGAAAATCAGACTCTGCCTGAATTCATCCTTTTAGGATTCTCCGACCTCAGGGCCCTGCGGGGCCCCCTGTTCTGGGTGGTGCTTCTGTTTTACCTGGTCACTTTGCTGGGTAACTCCATGATCATCCTCCTCACCCGGGCCAGCCCTTCCCTGCACTTGCCCATGTACTTCTTCCTGCGCCACCTCTCGGTAGTGGAGCTCCTCTACACCACCGACATCGTGCCCAGGACCCTGGCTGACCTGGCCTCCCCGCGCCCCCAGGCCATCTCCTTCCAGGGCTGTGCCACCCAGATGTACATCTTCATTGTCCTGGGCATCTCAGAGTGCTGCCTGCTCACAGCCATGGCCTACGACCGCTACGCCGCCATCTGCCGACCCCTGCACTACTCCATCCTCATGAGCAGGCGGGCCTGCGTGGCCATGGTGAGCATCTCCTGGCTCATGGGCATCATCACAGCCACCACCCACACCTCCCTCATCTTCACTCTGCCTTTCCCCCGCCACCCAATCATCCCGCATTTCCTCTGCGACATCCTGCCCGTCCTGAGGCTGGCAAGTGCTGGGAAGCACAGAAGCGAGATCTCTGTGATGACAGCCACTGTGGTCTTCATCATGGTCCCCTTCTCTCTGATTGTCACCTCTTACGTCCGCATCCTGGGCGCCATCCTGGCAATGGCCTCCACCCAGAGCCGCCGCAAGGTCTTCTCTACCTGCTCTTCCCACCTGCTCGTGGTCTGCCTCTTCTTTGGAACGACCAGCATCACCTACATCCAGCCCCAGGCAGGCTCCTCGGTGACCACAAACCGCATCCTCAGCCTCCTCTACACAGTCGTCACACCCATGCTCAACCCCATCATCTACACCCTTCGAAACAAGGAGGTGGCGGGGGCCCTGCGGCACATGGTGAAGAGGCAGGTCTTCTCGCCCTGACGGGACTCGGGGGTGCCTGCTCACTCACTGACTGCCTTCAGGTGCTGGACTGAAGCCACAATCTAATTGAAACCGTGCAGCACCTGAGAAAAATAAGGCTTCCTGGCAGAAAATGCTGGAATTAAAACAGAAGTAAATCTGTATCTTACCTCCTAACCACACCCCAGACTCACCATCAGAGCCATGGGATAAGAAAGAATGGAGGGGGCCCAGCCAGCATGACTCCGTGGTTGAGTGTCAACCTATGAACCAGGAGGTCATGGTTCCATTCCCAGTCAGGGCACATGCCCAGGTTGTAGTCTCGATCCTGGGCCTGCAGGGGGCAGTCAATCAGTGATTCTCTCTTGTCATTGATGTTTCTCTCTCTCTCTGAAATCAATAAAAATATATTTTTTAAAAAGAAGAAGAATGAAAGGGAATGCTGCCTATGGGGAAGAACATTTGGCATCTTCTAAATTATTCTAGACCCCTGAACAAGGTGATTGCCCTGGCTACACCCATAGTTAGAGGTCCATGTCAGTTATGAACTTGAAATCCAACTAAGTGGCCCGCCCGGAGCCCGTGGGGGAGTTTACCTGGCCTTTGATCTGGTTTTCTCCCAGAAGCACATAACAGTCTTACACTCTCAATGCCTTTTAGAAGAAAGGGAGCTGTTCCCCCTAGAAATATTCTTCATGAATATCCTTCCTTGCTTTTCCTCACCCTTGATTTCTGACATCCATAACTGCCTATCACACATCCAACTGGGCAAGAGGGTGTCCCTGGCTTCCCTCTTCTCCTCCCACCATGTGGCATCAGCTTAAACCCATACTCCTTCGCCAGCCCCTCAGACTGAGAGAAGCCCCGGGTCATCCTGGATAGGGCCTAGGGAGCAGACATTTACCATTCAGTGTGGCCCTCTTTCAATCTCTGGAAAATTCCTCGCTTTAGAAAGAGGAATTCCTCTCTGGGGCTGAGAACACTTTCTTAGCCCCCCAGGCATGTGACACAGTTCCACTGACTGACTTTGACCGAGTGTCTGCAAGAGGCACGGAGAGGTGCTCTCTCTGATGACGGCAGCAAAGGCTGTAACAGCAAGTTTCTACCATAAAAGTGGCAGAAACTTTCTGACCCATCCCTGGTGGCAGCACCCATGGTTTCCTCAACTGACCAGTGGGACTTATTCCTGGGTAACAGTGGCTGTTCTCCCAACAACGCTTCATTTTAATAATTGTTTTTCTGCTTCATCATCCAGACAGCTTCTGTCTCTGCCAAGAATTTTGATTAACACAATCGGTTTGGAGGCTGGAGGCAGGAGAGGGAAAATGTTAACCCTGCTGCCCTAGAAATAATGTGGTAGACCAAGCGTGTCAAACTCGCGGCCTGCAGGCCCCACGTGGCCCACAATGAATATTTTTGCAGCCCAGCCAATATAACAGTATGTAAGAAATGTTTAATAAAAATTTTGTAACTTAATTTTTACAGTGTCCTGTTACACATCATCATTAATAATGAACTACAACATCCGCTAATGACT